CATGCTTTAACGAACTGATGCGTTTCTTGACGGTGCTTTTCTTCTTGCTTATTGTTTCCTTGCAAGCATCACATCTTAACTTGCCATCAACTGAGGTAAGGTACTCGTTTTTATGTTCCTGGACTCGTTGCCATGAGCTTAACTTTGGGTCACTTTGCCCACGGGTTGAGCGGCTCTTACGAGCTGGATTAGTCTGTAGCTTTCTTTCTCTTGCTATTTTGGCTTTTTCGGGAGTAGGAAGATTGGCCCCCAGTCTTTTGGTTTCTGCAATCAGATTACTTGGGCCCTCATCTGCAGATTCATCTGAGTTGGATGTATTGGAATCACTGTAAGTGTCCGCCATCTTGAAAAACGTGCAACGTGATACCGCTGACCTCGTGATAAGGCATCACAAAAATCAACCCATGGGGGGCCCTTAGGCCCCAATTATTGTATTTTAGAATAAATTGAATAAATGTCTATCGAAAACTGACCAATGTGGCTCAAAACGTGAAGTGGCTTCAAAGAACCTCAAAAAGCCCAATGTTGCCGAAAATTCTAATAGTTGCCTAAATTCTAAAAAGTTGCCGAAAATCGCAAAAGTTGCCGAAAAGTTACCAAGCAACTCGTGGCTAAGCCTATTCAAGGATAGTCCTTACTTTCTACTTCTCTTCCTCTGTTAGAGTCTCGTAGGCCTCCCTAGTTCCACCTGAAATAAAGTAAAATGACTTGTTTAGTTGCAACTCACAACTTTTGAATTTCTGTATTTCAGTCATTTTTGTATTTCTTTCTAACACAGTCACTGTTCACATTTCAGTGCAATGGTGTTGAAGTTAAGACAATCACTTGTATTCTCTGACTTTTTATTTTCTTTGTTTTCATCTGTAGGATGATCAACTATCAAAGATGTGGTCTGTTTTGGATGTGGAGAGAACAAGTTATCAGTGATTTAGAATAAGCTTGTTTTCATAGTGATTTGTGTCATCAAGGGTGATTCTGAAGGGAGTAATATTTGTAGGGTTTATGTTATAAACAATTTTCCAACAAAGAAGCTGTTTTGGCTTTAAAAATTGCACAATGAAAGATAATTAATATGTTTCATTTATGGACCTTTATAGAACTTATTGAATAACAAAATGATTTTATCTTTCACTGTAAAAAAAAGCATCAAGACACAGCATCATGTGTTTCTAAGAACTTTATAATTAAAGTGAATTATGGTTACCTTGGCTTTGTTGACTGTTTAGGTTTAAAGTGATCAGGTCACCGCTATTACCTTCCAAGACCAAAGATCTTGGAATAAGTCCACAAGTCTTGGCAAACCAAAGACCCTGTTCTGCTTTTTCCCCCGCAATACCAGATCGTGAATTAGTGTTGATTATGTTTCTGCTTTTGGTTGGCAATAGTCAAGAAACTTTCAGCAAATAGATTTCCAATAAGAAATACTTTAAGAAGCAAGGAAAAACTTGTTTTGAGCCTAAAACAAGACTAGTCAAGTTGCAACTAAAGAGTTAGAATGGCTGAAGGATGACTTATGGCTAGATTAAGAACATTTTTTAATCAATTTCATGACATTTTGAAATGACTGTTAGTGAATCAACTTTGTAGTGAATATTATTAGAGGTGACTCGAGCTCATTTCTTACTCCAAAAATACGTTCGTTCAATTCCCATACAAGCTCGTAACATTTACACTGTTACACAACAAGGATTCCCACAGCTTGGGTTACCTGTGATCAGATGTATCTATTTTACCTCATGTCCTTCAGGTGATGTTGTCTCTGTCTCATTCCTACACCATCTGTTCTTCGGCTCATGTGTGTGGTAATGAGCGTTTTCAGCTGGACCATAGCGTCGTAAAACGCAGATGCTTTCTCTTAAAGATAACAAGAAAATTACATACTTAAAAAGGAGCAAAGGGGTTGGTTCTAAAGAAACTGTGGTGCTGCGTCAGTGGGGAAGTGGATTGATTTTAAGTTGATAAATTTTAGGTAAGGTGGCCACTGCGGATTAATCATTCATAGTGGCAAATCAAAAAAGGAGATATTAGCTTTGTTGAACCCTTTTGGAATGATTAGAGTTTCCTCATCTTCAACTTCAATTCTCAGCTTCTTACATTCTTCTGCCAACTCCTCTTTTCCTTTCTTTAGCTCCTCGATGATGCCTTGGGGACTTTGGAAAATCTCGTCCAGGTGAAGAGCAATCTTAGCCCAATACTAGATGCGGAAATTTTTGCGCTTCTTGCCATTTGTTTCCGAGGTGACCCTCTTCATTACGTGGTGAACTCTTCCTTTCACTGCAGTCCTAACACATACTTTGCTCGACAAGTTCAGTTTATAAGCGATGGAGGCTAAACCATCTTGAAGGGCATGGAAGATTTGAGTCAAGTCCATTTTAAATTCAGGCCATTTCCAAAGAGCCTTGCTGTTAATTTGTAGATAGAATAGTGGATCGTAGCAGAGGGTACCTAAAAAATAAACCTGAATACTAATCAGTTCATATTCCCATACCAATGCTAATCG